GTCCACGTCTGGCACATCAACGTCCACCTTGGGGCCTTTGATGTCCAGCTCAGGCCCCTTGAGATCACCCTCCAGCTTTGGAAGGGACACGTCCACGTCACCCTTGACCTTGGGGCCTTTGAGGTTGATGTCCACGTCAGGCATGGAGATCTTCTGGGTCTTGATGTGCATCTCGGGCATCTTGAACTTGGGGCCTTTGATCTTCCCCTCGGGCCCTTCCAAATCCACGCTCGGCACCTCCACGTCCACTTTCGGCCCTTTAACATCCACTTCTGGAGCTTTCAATTCCCCTTCCACCTTGGGGAGGGACACGTCCACCTCTCCCTTCACTTTGGGTCCCTTCAGGTTCAGGTCCACGTCGGGCATGGAGATTTTGTGGGATTTGAGGTTCAGCTTCGGCATCCGGAATTTGGGACCTTTCCATTTCCCTTCCGCTCCTCCGACGTCCACCTCCGGCCCCTCAATGTCCACCTCCGGCCCCTCAATGTCCACCTCTCCTTTGGGCAGGCTCACGTCCACCTCGGGCCCCTCCAGCTTGGGGCCGGACACGTTGAAATGAGGCAATTTCATTTTGGGCATTTTCACTTTGGCCTCTGGACCCTCCAGGTGGACATCGGGGACCTCCACGTCCACCTTGGGCCCCTTGATGTCACCCTCGGCCTTGGGGAGGGACACGCCCACCTCCCCCTTCACTTTGTGTCCCTTCAGGTTCAAATCCACGTCCGGCATCGAGATTTTGGGGGATTTGATGTTCAGTTTCGGCATCTTGAATTTGGGGCCTTTCATCTTCCCTTCTGGACCTTCCAAGTCCACCTCGGGCACCTCAACATCCAACTTGGGACCTTCCACATCCAACTTGGGACCTTCCACATCCAACTTGGGACCTTTCACGTCCATTTTGGCACCTTCCACGTCCACTTTGGGGCCTTTCACATCGATTTTCGGGCCCTTCAGCCCGGAAATTCCGGCGTCCCCTTTCAGTTTTGGGGCCTTCAAGCCCAGATCCACGTCCGGCATGGAGAGTTTTGGGCTCTGAACGTTGAGGTCGGGCATTTTGAACTTCAGGCCTTTCCCTTTGACCTCCGGCCCTTCCAGGTCCACGCTGGGGACGTCCATGTCCACCTTGGGGGTGGAAATGTCCACCTCCCCCTTCGGGAGCGTCACCTCCAGCTCGGGGCTCTCTCCCTTCACCCCAAATTTGGGCATTTTCAGCTTGGGGAACTTCAGCTTGCCCTCGGGGCCTTGGACGTCCAAATCTGGGGCTTCAACCTCCACCTTGGGGCCTTTGATCTCCACTCCGGGGGTTTTCAGCTCCCCTTCCAGTTTTGGGGTGGAAACGTCCAAATCCGCCTTGACTTTGGGCCCTTTGAGGTTCAGGTCGATGTCAGGCATGGAGATCTGGGGGGTTTTGATGCCCACCTCGGGCACCTTCACCTTGGGGCCCTTGATGTCCACGCTCGGGACCTCGACGGCGACGCCGGGACCCGAAACGTCCACGCTGCCCTTGGGAAGGGCCACCTCGAGCTCGGGGCTCTCTCCCTTCACCCCAAACTTGGGCATTTTCAGCTTGGGGAACTTCAGCTTGCCCTCGGGGCCTTGGACGTCCAAATCTGGGGCTTCAACCTCCACCTTGGGGCCTTTGATGTCCACTTCGGGGCCCTTCAAACCCGGCACGGACACGTCCAGGTCGCCGCTGGCCTTGGCACCGTTGAGGGTCAGGTCGACGTCCGGCACGGAGATTTTGGGGGCTTTGAGGTGCATTTCAGGCCCCTGGATGCCCAAACTCGGTGCCTCAACGTCCACCTTGGGGCCGCACACCTCCACGCCGCCCTTCGGGAGGTTCACGTCCACCTCGGGACCTTCTGCTTTGACCCCGGGCATCCCAAATTTGGGCATTTTGAATTTGGGCATCTTGAATTTTCCCTCGGGGCCGTGAACGTCCACTTCAGGTGCGTCAACGTCCACCTTGGGGCCCTTGATGTCCACGCTTGGGACGCTGATGTCCACCTTGGGGACGGAGACCTCCACCCCCGCTTTGGGAAGGGTCACGTCGACGCTGGGGGTCTCTCCCTTCACCCCAAATTTGGGCATTTTCAGCTTGGGGAACTTCAGCTTGCCCTCGGGCCCCTGGATCTCCATTTCTGGGCTCCCAACCTCGACTTCGGGGCCTCTGATGTCCACTCCGGGGGTCTTCAGCTCCCCTTCCAGTTTTGGGGCGGAAACATCCAGATGTCCCTTCGCTCCGGGCCCTTTGAGGCTCAGGCCGACGTCGGAGACTTGGGGGGTCTTGACGCTCATCTCGGGCATCTTCACCGCGGGGCCTTTGACGTCCACTCCGGGCACCTCCACCCCGATCTGGGGCCCTTTAAGGTCCAGCTGGGGCCCCCTGAATTCGCCCCCCACGCTCGGCACGGACGCGTCCACTCCTCCCTTCAGCCCCTTCAGGCCAACGTCCACCTCCACGCCCTTCAGGCCACGGCCCGGCCCGGCCACGTCCACCTCGGGGCCCTTGGCGTCCACCCTGGGGCAGAGTCCTTTGAGGTCCCCTTCCCCTCTGGGGCCCTTCAGGTTCAGGTTCACGTCCGACAGCGAAATTTGGGGCGTTTCCACCTTCTTGAAGGCCGGACCCTTCCATTCTCCCTCCAGGCCCGCCTCGGGGACGGCCACGCCCTTGGGGACGTCCGCGGCGGCGCCGTCGGCCTGGGCGGCGAATTTGGGGAAGGTCAAGTGCGGGATTTGGATTTTCCCCTTGGCGCCGTCCGGGGCCTCCACGCCGGCGACGTCCGGCGGAGGGGAGCGGACCTCGGCGGCGCCTTTGGCCGCCGCATCCACCTGCGGCGCCGCGGCTTCGCCGCCGGCCTGGAACCCGAATTTGGGGATTTTTAACGTCGGGATCTTGATCGTCCCCACGTCCACGGGTGGCGAGGAGCCGCTGACCTCCCCCTGCGGGCACGGAGCCCCGCCGGACACGTGGCCCTGCCCGTCCAGCCCCGCGGCGTGGAACGACCCGTCCAGCTCTCCAAACTGTCCGTTGGCCTCGACGCGGGGCGACCCCGGGAAGCCCTTCCAGCCCGGGAGGGATTTTCCAGTTTCTCCACCAGGAATTTGGCTCTGGGGCTGCAGGTGAAGCCCCTCAGGTGTCCCGGGCGGGTCCCCCAGCCCCGCTCGGACCCCGGCGCCGGACGTCGTGCCGAACTCCGGCGCGGGGATGCAGACGTTGAAATCGGGGCCGCCGATGACGGCGAGGTCGCCGTCGTGGCTGGTGACGTCCACGGTGTAGGCGGTGACCCTGCGGGTGACCGTGATGGTCCTGCTCTGCGTCCCGCCGGCCTCGGCCTCCGGCCCCTCCTCGGACCTGAGCCGCGGCTTGATCTTGGTGGTGTAGATGCGCTGGTACTCCTCATCATCGCCGCTCTGCGGAGGAGACGCTGCCGGTGAGCGCTGGACGTGCTTCCTCCCCATCCTCATCCTCATCGTCATCCCCATCCTCATCCTCATCATCCTCATCCTCATCCTCATCATCCTCATCCTCATCCCCATCCTCATCCTCATCCTCATCCCCATCCTCATCCCCATCCTCATCCTCATCATCCTCATCCTCATCTCCGTTGTCATCCCCATCCTCACCCTCATCCTTATCTTCCCCTCATCCCCATCCTCGTCCTTGTCCTCATCTTCATTTTATCCTTATTTTCATCCTCATCCTCATCCCCATCCCCATCCCCATCTTTGTCCTCATCCTTGTCCTCAACTTTATTCTCATCCTTATTTTCATCCCCATCCTCATCCTCTTCCCCATCCTCATCTTCATCCCCATACTCATCCTCATCCCCATCTTTGTCCTCATCCTCGTCTTTTTTCTCATCCTTATTCCCATTCTCATCCCCATCCTCATCGTCATTCTCATCCTTATTTTCATCCTCATCTTCGTCCTCATTCCCATCCTCATCTTCGTTCTCATCCTCATCCTCCCCCATCCTCACCCTCACCTTCATCACCCTCACCTTCATCACCCTCACCTTCATCCTTATCTTCCCCTCATCCCCATCCTCATCCTCCCCCATCCTCATCCTCCTCCATCCTCATCCTCACCCTCACCACCCTCGCCTTCACCCCTCTCTCCCCCCGATCCCCGTCCTCCCGTCCTTCCTCCCGCTCCTCCTCCTCGCTCACCAGCACGACCTCGGGGCTGCCGGGCGCGGCGGCCGCCTGCGGCGAGCGGTCGCCGCGGCGCTGCAGCCGCAGCCCCAGCGTGTGCTGGCCCAGGCTCTGCAGCAGCTGCGCCGCCTCCCCCGACTGCAGCTTGTCGAAGTAGACGGTGGCGCTGACGATCTGATCCCCTGGGGGGACGGGGGACAGCGGGTCAGGGGGCTGGGGTGGGGGGACACCGGCGGGGACCCCCCGGCCCTGCCCCGAGCGACCGCGGGGACATCGCCCACGGGTGTGGGACGGTGAGGTGCCACCAAAACAACCCCAAAATCCCATTTTCAACCCCAAAACTCTGAGGGAAAAATCCCATCCCCACTGTGAGTGGCCGTGGGGTCATCGCCCATAGGCACAGAGGCAGAAGTGCCTGAGGTGCCACCAAAACAACCCCAAAA